CTGCCACCTGCCAGCCAGCCTGTTGCACGAAGGGCTGCAGTGATGTGTGCCTTTCTCTAGATCGTCAAGTTTGCCCGGGGGCCACATGCCAAGGTCTCCCCTGTCAACGATGTGGACGTCGGGGTGTACCAGTTGATGCAGAGCGAGCAACTGCTTTCACGCAAAGTGGAATCCTTATCCCAGGAAGCGGAGAGGTAATTAAGCCCATCCCTCCAGGCCCCCCGAGCGCCTCACCTTCCCCGGGAAACCCCAGCAATCACAGAGGGCGATAAAAAGGCCCCGAGCTTGCCCCAGGTCGTGTCAACATCAGGCTGGCAGCTGGTCAGCTGGTATTTCTGATGCCACACATTGTCTTAGTGACCAGTCTCTGCCTTCCCTGGGGTCTTTCCGGGGGATTCCTGCCCCTGCCCCTTGGGTGACTGTGCAAGGGGTCTGCCTTAGGGTGGAGTGGATCTGAGATGCCTTGCCCGAGCACTGCTCTCGGGGGCCCCCAGGACCCTCGCCGCCTCCTGGAACACAGCCTCCTTCACCCCTCTGTTTGACAGGTGTAAAGAAGAAGCCCGCCGAGCGTGCCGAGCTGGGAAGAAACAGCTGGTGGGTTCTCATCCCCCGGAGACACAGCAATGCCCAGGCTGGCAGGGCGAGGGGCCCAGCAGCTCAGAGAGCCATCTGCTCGGTGCTCCCGGGTCATGGAGTTGTCCGGGAGCACTGCAGCTGGCTTGTAGGTGGTCTCCTTGTCAGGGAAGGCCCACCTTCCTCCTGCTCCTGGGGCTGCCCGGTTCAGCCCTGACCCAAGTCTCCATGCCCTGCTAGGCACTGAGGTCTCTCAAGGCCAGGCAGCGGACGGAGAAGCGCATCGAGGCTTTGCACGCCAAGCTGGACACCGTTCAAGGCATCCTGGACCGCATCTACGCCTCCCAGACGGATCAGATGGTAAGCCTCTCCCTGCCCGGTCCTGGCTGCGGCTCTGGCACGCCTGCTCTTCCCCTCCGTGGGCCGTGCTGTGGGGAAGAGGCCTGGAGTTGCCTTCTCTTCTGTCGGGAGACTCGGCCCCCATGCTCATGAGATGAACTGGAGCTTGGGCGGCCAAAATACTCCCAGAGCTCTCTTGGAGAGATAAAGCCATATGGTCTGTGTTTTCCCAGAGGTTTGCCACTGAAACTGAAAACACCGTTTCCTCTTCAGGTTTTCCATGCCTACCAGGCTGGGGTAGGAGCGCTGAAGCTCTCCATGAAGGATGTCACGGTGGAGAAGGCAGAAAGCCTTGTGGATCAGATCCAGGAGGTACAGGGAGGGGCAGAGACGCTGCAGCTGGGACTCTGTTGGGGTCCTCCTTTCACAGACTTGACCATTGCCTGGTGGCTGCAAGCAGCTGCTTTTGGTCCTCAGAGAGGCTGGCGTTGCTGCGAAGCCCAGGCCACGGTTTTGCCTGATGGTGTGGCGGTGCTGAGGGGCGCCATTCCCTGGGTCAGGCCCTTGCGCTTGTGTCTTTCAGCTGTGTGACACGCAGGATGAAGTTTCTCAGACTCTGGCTGGCGGTGTAACCAATGGCATAGGTGAGTTCGTGGGCCGATGCCGAGTCTGCTTCCGTGAGAACTGCACGTCCTTTGTGCTGTGTTGGGTGTTCATGTGGCCTTAGCTCTTCCTGGTATAGGCCAGCCTGGAGCGTTGCCCGGGGCTCCTCTGCAGAGCAGTTTTCGGGGGTCCCTGTTTGCTCCTTGGTGGGGTGAACTGAGGCCCCCTGCCACCTAAGTGTCTGTGTGCGAGACGGTGTGTCCTCCTTCAAGGACAAGGGGAAGCAGAGTCCCTTCCCTGGCCTCCTTGGGGACTTGCCTGAGCTCCCCCTTTGTCTTTAATACACCTGTTTTTTTCCCCGCCCTCCGGGGAGCCAGCACACGCCATTCAGCACCCGCAGTCCCTGGCTTCCCTTGTGGGTCCCCTCGCTGAGGCCCGCATCCTCACGTGGCCCCTCCTTTGCAGACTTTGACAGCGAGGAGCTGGAGAAGGAGCTGGACATCCTCCTCCAGGACACCACCAAAGACCCCCCAGAGCTGCCCGACAGCCCCCCCGAGACGCTCCAGACCAACAGCGTGCCTCACCCCAGGATCTCGGATGCCGAGCTCGAGGCTGAGCTTGAGAAACTGTCTTTATCGGAGGGAGGTAGGAGCCATCTGCCAGTCCTTGCTGCTGGACTTGTGCCCCTATAGGTGCACAGGAACTGAGTTGGTGGGCTCTGTCCCAGGTGTTCCCTGTGCCCAGCTCAGAGCCCTCTGGGGGCGCTGGGGGCTGTGTTGCCGTGAGGACTTGGTCCCTGAGGCCCTGGGCTGGGTGCTCCTGTCTTCTTGTCGTAACGACGAGCCCTTTCTGCTCCTCGCAGGTTTGGTCCCAAGCAGTAAATCTCCAAAAAGGCAATTGGCACCGACTCTCTGAAGCAATTACAGGACCTTCATGTCAGAGACAGGCCTGTGTGTATGTGTGTGTGTGTACATAATTATTTAAAGGAGGAGAAACTTTGGGAGTTGCTTGGGAAGAGGAGGAAGGAGACCCGCTCTGTACCCGGGTGCCTGCACTCACACCAGGACGGACAGATCGAATCGAGGAAGCTGGCGGTGCCGCGGCGTGGACCTACCTTCTCAGCTCCAGAGCGTGCCACGATTCGCACGCAGGTGTGCGTGTGCCCACGGTCCCCGGCAGCCTGCACTTTGTGCCGCTGGCCCCCATTAGGTTTGTCTTCCCCCACCAGCTTCCTTGCAGCCAGGGAAGGAGGAGACTCGCAGCTCGGCCAAGTCGGTCTCTTTCCCCACTGCCTCCCTCCCTCCACCTCTTTCCCCCAACGGTGGAAGGGATTGAATCTGTCAGTAATGTGACACCTACCGCTTGTCCTGGTCTGTTTTCCTTGGTGAACACTTGAAAGTTTTATTCCAGGGGACTTGAGAATTGCCGCTCAGTGGAGGAACATGCAGTATAGAAACCATCTTAAGGGTCATTTGTCCAGATCCCCGGGTATTTGAAGAGGCCACCCCGCGAGGCTCAGGATCCAGCCGGCTGGGAGGGCCTCTGCAGTCGGTCCTGCTGCTGCCTCTTCCGTCTTGTGCAGGACACCTGCCTGCAGGGGTGGAGTCATTCCTGGGCTTTTGAACTTAAACAGGGATAGGTCCAGGTGGCTGCAGGGACCCCAAGTTGGGCCGAACCATAATCCTTTGTAAAGAAATGACAGTTTTGCCTTGGGCCCGCCATGGAATACCTTCCATTTAAAAGTTGTGTATCCTTGCCAGGACACGTCACACAGACCCCGTTCTCTCTCCCTGAGTTTGGTCACAGCGGGCTCTGGTGTGTGGGTGTGGAAAGCCTTTACCTTGGTTGTTCTCTGCACAGGGCAGGGGATCTGAGCCAGGATGTGCAATAGATGCGGAAGGCGGTGGCATTCTGCTGGTTGTGCCATGAGCTTCCTCCAGGCCCTGCCCTGCCTTCCCCTGCCTCCTGTTTCTGTGCACGAGTCAGGCCAGGGTGCATGGGTTCCGAATGCTCTGGCAACAGGGAGAAGGCAGGTGACAGCCACACTGCCACCGAGCTGCCCAGGTGCAGGGCTTTCTGCCTGCAACGCTCTGCCCATGCTTCCTGCTCCGTGCGGCAGAGACCGAAGGGGACGAATTTGCTCCAGGCCAGGAGCATGAATCGCTGATCCTTGAATTTCTCTCACACTTGACCTTGGTGAACAGAAATGTGGGGGTGAAAAGAAACAATCACTATTTTTTTTTTAATCTGATAAATAATTAAAAGGCAAAAAAAAAAAAAAAGACGTTCTTGTCCTTTTCTGAGTCCTCACGCCAACCTACTAGGCAGCCAGCAGAGCCACACTTTGGTTCTTTCAGGGAAGGCCGCATGGGAGTGTGGGGTAGCTGCGCCCTAGTTAGGCTGGCCATTGTCTGTTCTTCTGTCCAGTAAGTGGCTTAATTCCTTATCTCTACACAACCATGCAGTAGGTTAGCCTGGCATCAGTAATCCCCAGCACCTGCTCTGGTTGTGTGTGTGGCAGACCTGGTGCCCACAGTGCCATCTGACTCCCTGGGCTGTGGCCTTGGAGGCTGCAGACCCCAAGAAATCTGGGAGATCTGCCCCAGCCCTCAGACGTGCTGCTGAGGGAGGCGGCAGGTGAACCAGCCAGCTGCAGCAAGGCGACGGGGAGGAGCGGGAAGGACGGTGGCCCCGAGGTGGGGACCCTCCTTACACAGTCTCACAGTCCTTTTGTCACTGTGTGGCTGAAGGACCCTCGTCCAAATGCTGTGCCTGTGGGTGGACAGAACAAGCAGGGAGAGCACACAAGGATGACCCGAGGTCACTGTGGAACCGGGGTGGGAGGGCAGCTTCTGCAGGCCTAGCTGGCAACTGTTTTGCCTTCCTGTCACCCAGTCGTACAGTTTTGGAGAAAACAGGCCTCATTTCTTCTCATCCATGTAGACGCGTGAGCTGACTTCCGCAATCCTGCCATCCTAAGAACTCTCTAGAATTCCCTCTGTGAGTCCTGGCTGGCCGACAAAGGTCAGGATGCAGGAGTGGGCGTGCATGCGGCATGCTAAGCTGCCACTGGGGTAATGCCTGCAGTCTATCAGTGCTGGTTTGAATTCCGGCTTCTCCGCTTCCTATCCAGCTCCCTGCTAATGCACACGGGAGAACTGGATGGAATTCCTGGCTCCTTCCTGATTTGGGCCTGGCCTGGCTATCTGCAGTTAGCCCAGTGGTTGCACAGTCTGACTTCCTGTCTAGGTTCAAGTTGGAGTATAAATTCAATGATTCTCTTGCATTCAGATTATCTTAATATTGCTCATGTTTCATTCAAGTTACAGCTCCTCTGGGGAAAGTATGGCTCCGTTCCTCTTGGCAGGGAAAAACACTCCAGAAGGTCACAGACTTGTCAGAATGGGAGAACTGGAAAGAGCCCTGTTGTTTATTGCATATATCGTTGTCTGTGCTGATATACCACAGCCTGTCTGTGGGCTTCCATGGTTCTGATCCTGGAGAGAGGAGCGGCACCCAAGCTACCACAGCAGCTCGAGCTGCACCTGCTACGGCAGCTCCCAGGGGCGCGGTAAGCAGCACCCCAGAACCCGGCAGAGGCTGGAGGTCACAGGGTCAGGAGCTTGCTTGGGTGTGGGGCGGCGGGGCGGGGATGTGCAGAAGACGACACCCTCTCTGATCGCTCCACCAGGGAAGCTCCAGGGAACAGGCGATCTTCTAGAAGACAAAGCTAGATTCAGAGTCCGCTGCCCTGTCACAATTTAGCTGCCCCAGACCTTTGGGGAGGGATAAAGGTGGGAGGGGAGCTGCCCAGCAGCTAACGCCGGGGACCGGCGGGGCTTTGAGGGGGCATGGCGGGGAGGGGTGAGGCTTTGGAGGGTAAGGCTGAGGTAGCGGGGAGGGGTGAGGCTTTGGGAGGTAAGGCTGAGGGGACTGGAAGGGTGAGGCAATGGGGTACAGTTGAGGGGGTGGGGCTGAAAGGGGGCGGGGCTTTGAGGAGCAAAGGGGTGGGACTCCGAGGCGGCGGGGCTGCAAAGGACCACCGTAGGTTCTCGAACGCCGTTGGCGCTTTTGCCTGGACCCACCGGCAGGAGCTTCAGGAGAGGTGAGGGGTCCGCGGTCCCAGGGCCGGAGCGTGAGGGGCTTGGCCACGCTGTTTACTCTCAATGGCTCTGAGTGTCGGGCGGTGGGAGTGGGCTGCCAGTCGCCGGCGCCCTGACACTGTCCTCCTCTCCAGGACCAATTCCTGTCCTGGGGAGTCGGGTCCCCCTAACCAGTTCCCGCAACCCTGCTCAGCCTCTTCATTGCTCCGTGCACTTCACCTCTTCCGACGCTGGAGGGCGCCAGGGAGCCGCCGGCTGAGCTTGCCGCTTACCGTTGTGATGCTAGCACAGCCTTGAGTCCTGTGGCTTACTAGTGACCCATGGCACTCAGGGTAATATTAGGTTTTACCAGTTTATTATAAAGGATAAGATAAAGGACCCAGGTGAACTGCCTGTTTGGCAAAGTTTAGGGGGGAGTACCCTGTACCCCCAAATAGCCCCTACTTCCCTCAGCCGCACCCCATTGCCTCACCCAGTCCCAGTCCACATGAAAGCTGGGACTGGGTGTAAGTCATGTCAGGCTGGACCGCAGTGCCCCCTGGCAAGCACAAGATGCTGGCTAGAAGCAGGCCTGGCAGGGGAGCTGTGGGCACTCTCCTGCTAGGCTTCAGCTCGCATTGGTAAGCATGAAAGCCAGAGCTGAGGGCAGACCAGGCTAGACAAGGCAGCAGCACTTGTTTGGTATACTTGTGGGGGCAGGGTGGGCTGAGCTAAACACAGCACCCATGGGTGTTTACTAGAGCCAGCTGGGATGTGGGATAGACCAGGCTAGGCCACAGCACATGCTGGCACATGCTGGGGGTATGGGCATGGTGGGGGTTATTGGAGGCTCCCTGACTAGACCCCAGCACCTGTTAGTTCGCTTGAGACGGGGCTGGGGGTGAAAGTGACCAGGCAGCTGCATCCACCAGTATGTCCATTGGCTGGGACAGGTGACAGACCAAACGAGATCCTGCACTAGCTGGTGCACGCAAGAGTCTCCGAGGCACCAGCAAATGACCATCCCGCACCCCTGGGTGCTAATGTACTTTGACAGCAAGGAGCGACCCACTTCCTTCCCTGCCACCTCCCCTCCCCACCACACATATAAAAGTAAAAGAAAAATTGAAACCTTTATCCCACTCACTTTCTTCCATACCTCAACGCTCCCCACTCTAATCTGAGGCCCACATAGGCAGACATCCCTCTCAACTATGTAAACAATATTAAAAGTAAATGTTTAGAACCAAAAAAGCAAAAAATAAAAACAAACACACACACACATACAACTTAGACACCTTCCCAGGCACATTATCAGGGAGCTAGATGTGAAGTGGAACAGCCAGGACTTGAACTAGTGCCCTTATGGGATGCTAGCACTGTAGGCAGAGGCTTAACCTACCATACCACAGCACTGGTCCCTGACAATATTCTTTTAAAGCCGGAAGGATGTTCACCTAGGCCATTTCTGAACAACGCCATGTAAGAAGTTTTGTCTGGCGTGGTAAGATAAGACGTAGGAGAAAGCTGTGGGAGAAGCCTGTCACAGGTCGTGTGTTTACACAGCAAGGTTTGTGGGTACCAGATCACTGTGAGAATAGCACTTGCAAGGAGAAGCTCCTGATATGGCTAGAAAAACAGTAACACCCATGTGAGACCTTTGCAGATACATTGATAAGACCCAACCCAAATACATTAAGACCAAAAGAGAAAGAGAGAGAGAGAGAGAAATATGCGTAATATTTGCAAAAGCAATGACCCGATCTCCAAATATAGTCAGTTTCTCAGACACTGGGGTTTTGATACAGGGCGATGCAGGGCAATACAGGCTGACACATGGTGATGCAGGGTAGTACAGGGTGGTACAGTGTGGGAAGCAGGTGTCTAGTGCGGGAAGCCCTGGCAGAGCCTTGGCCAGAGTGGTGATGGAAGTGGGGTCAGAAGGAGCGAGTGTCCAGCCTCGCAGTTGAGCCCACAGGGACCCTAAGTAGAAGAAGGATGGAAAAACGGACCTAGCGAGAACAGCTACATTGGGGCTAGAATAAGGAAGTGCCGGTGCTGTTCGTTGAGCTGGGGGAAGCCAGGGAGAGAATCCACGGGAGGCAGATCCAGGACAGGGCCTCAAGGCCTTTCAAGCTTCAGCGAACGAGAGCAGGAGGAAGAGCCACCCCAGAATACTCAGAGATGAGAGATGAGAAGAGCAAGCCAGAACCTGTGCTGCCATAGAAACGGAAGGACAAGAGCTGCCGGAAGGTTCTGTGCATTCCGACTGCGCGTCTCTGCCCTGGAGTGCTGGACTCCAGAGCCCTGAGGTCGGGAGCCAGGCAGCCGGAAGCCGCTTCCAGGGGCAGGTGCACAGGTGCTGTGTCCACATGGTATGGAAACAGAAATTAAGCCCAGTCTGCTTTTATTTTGTAATCTAATATTTATTTACGTTACAGACCAAGGCACAGAGATCAAAACCTGCCATATGCTGGCTGGCACCCCCAGGTGCCCAGCTCGTTCTGGGCCACAAGCAAAGCCAAGAGCTGGGAATACAATCCAGGTCTCTCGAGTAGATAACAGAAGTGGGGTGCCTGAGCCATCGCTGCTGGCTCCTAGGGGATACAGTGGCAGGAAGCCAGGGGTCAGGAGTTGATCTCCAGTGGGATGTGGGTATTTTAACTCCCAGCCCCAGCCTGATTTTCAGTGTGAGATGACGATTCTAAACAGCACTTCTCTTTGAAGAGTCATTGGATGGCCTAAGTTCCAGGTAATTGCTCTGGCGATCTGACCTTCAGATAGGGCGCATTCATCTCCCTCATCCTTTACAAGTCCTCGTGTAATAGTTCAGACAACTTACACTGGGACAGCCTCACGCATTCAGCTTACGTTTACATTTCTGATGACTTGGAATCCTTGAAACTCATCTTGCTGGGGCAGGGGTTGTGGTGCAGCGCATTAAGCCACTGCCGGGGAAGCTTACCTCCCGAACGGGGTGCCTGGCCATGGCTGTGGCTCCTCTGCAGTAGGCGGGAACTGCCAAGTTGAGGGTCCAGCTCCCAAGCCAGCTGCCGCGGGCGCAGGCTTCCTTTCTATTTCAGAGTCCCTGTGTCATGGACTGAGTGGTGTGGTGGTTTCTTTCGCCCACTTCTCCCATCCCAGATTGAAAGCCTAGACCATTGCAGGATTTCCATGGTGGGTTGCCGAGCGCTGGCTCCTAGGGTGCGCCTAAGCAGGAAGCTCGCAGTGGGAGTGGAGAAGACTTGAAGCCAGGCACTCCGGGAGGGGGTGGCCGCGTCCCAAGTGCTGCCTTGAAGAGCTGCTTTGGCTTTTCCGTTGAATTTCACGTAGACTTTGCCATCTGAAAGTGGCTTTTCCATCCCCAGGTCTCTTCTCCCAGTGGGCCTCTCCATGGATAAGCCCTTGTGGCCCCCATCCTGCCTGTCCTTCATGACTCCTCCCCTGTCCCAAAACTTGTCTCTCAAAGGCTTTTTATTTATTTTTTTTTTCTGTTTGCCTGGGAAAGCAGCAGAAGATGGCCTACAGCCTTGGGATTCTGCACTCTTGCTGAGACCTGGATGGGACTCCCAGCCTCAGCGCTTCAGCCTGGAATAGCCCTGGCCATTGCAACTCCTGGGTAGTGACGGAAGATCTTTCTTTGTCTCTCTCCTTCTCTGTGACTCTTTTGCAGAAATAAATTTGTCTTAAACTACTCATTTGATATGGGGAGGGGAAGGAGGAGGAATACTCAGAAGGCACCCCCATCTTTGGGTCTCTTCCTGAATGAGTGCAACAGCCAGGACTGGACTAGGCTGAAAGCGGGAGCAGGAAATTTAATCCAAGTCTCCCAGGTGGGCGACGGGAACCCAGCCCTCCCAGGGTCCGTATCAGGATCATCTCTGAAGAGCCGGAGGCGGTGCTGGGGGGAAATGGCCAGAGCACTTGGAAACTTTTCCTTGGAAATCTAAAATGCGATTGTCCAGTGCAGCCGCTGACTGGTATTCATGCGCTGCCCAAGTGGTCTTGCCCAACTTAATGCTAGATGGCATCTGTCAGTCATTGGAAAAGACCCTCTTGGGCTCAGAGGACGATTCTAACATCCGAGCAACGCCAGATACACTATCCTGCCTTTCTAGGTGTCGCTTTGCCGATACATACATGTCGCTAGTTGCATCGCCCCGGGAGAAGCAGTAATGGTTACCTCAGCAGCAGATGCGCCCCACCCGTGGCCCCGTACCCCACAAGCATGCACCCCACGCCCCTCGGCATCCCCTGCGGTTCCTCCCCCAAGCCGCGCGGTGGCGCTGCAGCCCGACTGAGTCGCTCAGCCTCTGTCGGGCAGTCGGGCGCGCGGAGGCTCCTGGGGAGTCTCCTGCACGCCGGCGCGGGGCGCGCGGGGCGCGCGGGACGGGCGGTGCTGAGTGCGCCGGCGCCAGGTGGGCGAGTGTCCTGCGGGGGACTCGGTGGCTCGGCGGGGCGGGGCGGGCCCTGGAGTCCGGAAGCCGTCGGGGGAACCGGAGGCCAGGGCGGGGAGCAGGGGTGAGGCTGTGAACCGGGGGTCTTTCTCTCGAGTCCTTTGGGGACCCTCCGAGCCCTGTCCTCCTTGTCCCCCCCCGCGCCTCCGCAGGCTACGCCACCTGCCACCCTGGCCCTGATCTGCTTGGACGGCGTCTTCCTCTCCTCGGCCGAAAATGACTTCGTCCGCGGGATCCAGGAAGAACTGGCCCGCTTCGTGCTGCAGAAGCAGCTGTCGAAGTAAGGGGGGTGGAGGGAGGGACGAGGATGCGCCCGGCTTGCTGGGGAGCGGGAGGGCAGCTTCCTGGGGGTCCCACCTGCCACCTCTTGTTTCCAAGGGGGCGAGCGGGCGGAGGCCGTTAGTCCTAACGTCTGCTGCCCGCGGTCTCTTCTTAGCCTTTATCCTTGACCCGGGGCAAGGCGAGGGGATGTCGGCCAGGATGGGGTGGGACCCAGTGGGGCAGGAAGGATTGTGTATTCCACGCTTCCTGCATGGAGTGGGACTGGGACCCTTCCTCAAGGGAGGGTTCGGGGCCCCAGGGGGTTCAACGTCTTTCTGGTTCCTTTTCCCAGGGTCCTGCTCTTCCCTGCGCTCTCCAGCCGCCTCCGGTACCTGATCCACAGAACGACAGAGAATTTCGATGTTTTGAGCAGCTTCTCTGTCGGCGAGGGCTGGAGAAGAAGGACCGTCATCTGTCACTCGGACATCAGGTGCCTAGGCCACTTGCCTTTCAGCAGGTCCTTGCCGGTCGGGTGGCTGGAATGTCGGCCACAGCAGGAGTCGGGGTCGGGGGACCCCCTGGGCTGCTGGCCGTTGGGCTCCTTGGCTTGGAGGCAATGGCTTTGTGCCATGTCCCTTTCAGAGAGGGCCTGCAGTATGTCCCTCGTGTGCCTCACAGGGGTGGGTGCTGAACAACCCTAATGTTCCACATAGCAGGTGTTGCTTGGAATATATTTGGTATGTGACGCTCTGCAACACTTAGTGGTGGGGAGATGGTCTGAGTCAGGTGCTATGTAGAAGCGTTCCAGCATTGTGCAGCCTTACCACACGGCACTCACAGGCCTGCCACTGACCACAGCCCCCGGTCGGTGAAGGTTGGAGGGGTGGGAGGCCGAGGCTGCTGCTGTTTCCCAGCCAGCCTGTCCTGTAAGTAAGTAGAGGGAATGGGGGTTGCTAAAATAACCCTGAATGTACTCTCAGCATCCTCGCCCCGTCTTGTTCCAGAGTGCCTAGTGTGGATGGCAGCTCGGGTCCTGGCCGTCCTCCTGCGCCCCAGCCTGGCAAGCACCGCGGTCCTCGGCCGTCCCCGAACCAGGGAACATGTGCAGGTCCCCGAGGTGGCCGGCAGGGCCGATGGCATCGTGGACGCAAGCCAGACCAGCCTTTGTATGTCCCTCGGGTGCTACGCAGACAAGAACAACATGCGGAGACCTCCCCGCCCCAGCTCAAGGCAGAGACCCCAGCCCCTGGGGTCGCGGAGGAACCTGGGGATGTTGGTGCCAGCCGCTCTGATCAAGAACTTCCCGTGTTGGTGACTCAGGTGGCAGAGAGCCCAGGGGACCCAGACCAGAGCTGCGAGAATGGGTCATTGCTGGATCCCGCTGGTCCTGAGCCACTTCGGCCTGCGAGTCCCTCGGGGAAGGGAGACAGGGTGGAGACGGCCACCCCGCAGCCAGGCCTGGAGGAGGAGGGGAAGGGAAGTCCTCCCGAGACGGGCCCGGTGGCAGAAGAGGAGGAAGAGGAAGAGGAGGAGCCTGCCAGCTGCTCTGATGATGAAGATGATTACAGCGAGCTGCTGCAGGAGGTGAGGAGGCTCTGGATCCGGGAAGGAGAGGGTGCACCTGCGGGGGGCCACGGCCACGGGCGACTCAGGCCACGGGGGGCCACGGCCACGGGGGGGCCACGGCCATGGGCGGCTCAGGCCACAGGCGGCTCAGGCCACGGGCGGCTCAGGCCGGGGCATGAAGTTTCTTAGGAGTTGTCCAGGAGGAGCCATGGTTGGTCTCGGCCAGCCATTCGGCAGCCTGTGACTCTGGGCAGGTCATTGGGCTTTTCATAGTGTCCCTTGCCTCGTGGGAAAAAAAGAACAAAAATAGTGCGAGCTTCGGGAGGTCGCCGAGGCGAGGGTGCGCGGAGGTGCTTTGGCCTGTGTAGGGGATGGTGGTCGCCACTGCGACTCTTCCACCCGGGGCTTTGCCCAGCCCGTCTGGTTTCCTTGGAAGCAAATACCCTGTGACTCTTCCACCCGGGGCTTTGCCCAGCCCGTCTGGTTTCCTCGGAAGCAGATACCCTGCCACTCTTCCACCTGGGGCTTTGCCCAGCCCGTCTGGTTTCCTTGGAAGCAGATACCCTGCCCTGGCTGCCCGCTGTGGGGTCATTGGGGAGCGTGGGCATCTTTCTGTTGTCATTTCATACATGAATGAGAACCAGAAACTTTTACTTCGTATCACTGGGCTTGTCCAACTGGGTGTCTTGCTGGCTTGGTGGCTTTGGGCCACCCACTCAGCTCTGTGGCCTCGAGTTGTCCAGTCGGTAAAGGGAGTTGGTAGAATATGGTGTTCAGGATTCTGTGACGTACTCTGGCCAGTACGTCCCCCAGCAGCAGGTGCCTGTCCCCGAAACTCTCGATTTCCCGCCAGTTGACCGGCACATGTCCGTCTCTAGACTCCTGTCAGGCCGGGCTCCCTGTGCAGGGCCCACGGAGGGTGGCTTAGGAACCAGTTCGTCGGAGCCCTGCGTGTCAGACCTCCCCATGTTGAAGGGTCTGATGTCTCTCCCAGATAAAGGCCCAGCTGACGGAGAAAGACATCCAGGTGGAGAGCGTCCACGTGGACACGTCCCCCTTTGCCCAGGAGCTGCCTGCAGAGCAGGACCTGGCCCACGTGGTGGAGATCTACGACTTTGAACCTGTGCTCAAGACAGAGGACCTCCTGGCCACGTTTTCTGAGTTCCAGTGAGTCAGGGTTGGGCGCGGGAGATGGGGGAAGTGGGGTGCTGCCTCCCCAGGGAGGAGCCAGGACACAGCTCTGTAATGGACATCAAGGGATCTGAAAAGAGGTGCAAAGTAAAGGCCTGGGTCCCCCCTGCCTGTGAGCCCCTTGTCTCCCGCCAGCCACCGACATTCAAGTCTGGCCTTGGCAGTTCCCGGCGAGGAGCCACTTTCGCCCTTGGCCCAGTGCCATATGTGCCTGTTGGGTCATACCATTTTATTTCTGGACCCCTAGGACCTGGCTGCCACCCTCTGACGTCACAGTCTTCGTGTGACCATTCGTGGTGCGCTCAGGCCTGTCTGGCACTTGTAGGGTTGCAGAGTCGGAGCAGGGTGGGGACCTGCTTTGGGGGACAGGGGACAGGGTGTTGGCTGTTGTGCCCACTGCTGCCTCTCCTTTCCCCCACCCCCACACAGGGAGAAGGGGTTCAAGATTCAGTGGGTGGATGACACTCATGCACTTGGCATCTTTCCCTGTGTGGCCTCAGGTAAGGCTGCTCCGGGGGCTGGGGACGGTGGGGCTCGGCTCCTGCTGTAAAGAAGGGAGGACCCTTGGTAGGTTCGGGAGCGGAGGGCCAACCCTGAGTCATGGGACCCGCAGGCTCCCAGGTCCTGGTGAGCCAAAGGGAGGCCAGCTGGGCATTGAGCCTCGCCCTCCTCCTTGTGCGGGTGCCATCAGTACCAGGATGCCATCAGTGACCCATCGTGGGCACTAAGTTCGAGCCCTGCACACACCATGTGTGCAAGGAGGTCACAGGTGAGCAAGTGTTGCTTTTATGAAGGGACAGAGGCATCCAGCAGTCTTTGAGTTGATGTGTGTGAATGTACTTGGCCTCAGGACAGGGGGGGTGTTACGTCCATTTTATAGATGGGAGACTCTAGGGCACCAGAGTCCATTCCTGTAATAAGGCCCCCCCCCCAGCTGGGGTGACCGTGCATGCAACTTCTTGACCAGCACACTCTGCTGCCGGGCTGTGCTGCCCCTGGCCTACCTCTGCTTACGTTGGATGCATTTATAAAGGCCGCTGCGGCCCTTGGTTGAGCTTCGCTTCTTGGCCTTGGCCTCCTCCGTGCACATGAAGGCTGGACAGGGCTGGTGTGTGTAAGCCTGGCCCTTTGGTGCCCAGCCCTCTGTGCAGGCTGCGGAGCTCTGGGTAGGGCGAGGCTCGGCTGTCTCGGCGCTGCCCTGAGCTTCGAGGAGTGCTGGACACGGCTGCATCCTTTCTGGGTGGTGCGTGGGGGCTTCCCCCGGGACAGATGGCTCCAGAGCTGCTTCCCTCCCACAGCTGCTGAAGCCCTGAGCAGGGAGTTCTCAGTGCTGAAGATCCGGCCTCTCACGCAGGGCAGCAAGCAGTCCAAGCTGAAAGCGCTGCAGAGGCCAAGTAAGGACATGACAGGTGCAGCTTGTCTACTGCGGGCAGGGAGGAGCCTTCCCTCGCTGTGTCCCCTCAGCCTTTCCTGTTCATTTCCTGCTGGTTAGGCGTCCTGGACTACGGTTCCCTCTCTAGAGGTTCTGGGGTACCTAGGGTGGGAGGCTGTGCAGGATGGGGTCTGCCAGCTGCTGCCTGGGGTCCCTGTCCTGAGCGCTGCTGAGGGGCCAGCTTGGGTTCGTGGGAGCCAGGGAGGACACATCCCAAGGGGTGTGCAGAGGTGTGCTTCGGGGACATTGTGGCTCTGTTGCTTATTCAGGTTGACCCTGAGCAAGACATCTAGCTTCAGTTGGTTTCTTTGTAAAATGAGTGAGGGTCTGGGCTAGACTGGGGGGAGGGACATTGAAGGGAAGGGAAGGACAGACCCCGCCGAGGCCATGGAGGGTGCATGGGAGGTTCTGAGAAGTGTTACCTCCTGCCCTTGTCTTCCTCCAGGGCACAGTGGGGCTTTCAGAGGCCAGTTTCCACCACTGCACAGTGGCAGCTGGCAGAACAGGCCCAGCAGCAGCCCGCAAGGCTGTCCATCCCCTTGCACCAGACCTCCTGGGACAGTAAATGCCTGGTTTCTAGGTCCAGGAGTTCTGGGTGTCCTGTCCTGGCTCAATTCCTCCCCCCACCACCACCAATGGGCAAAATTAACCCCAGATAGAGGAACAGATCTGCTGAGGAGTGACGGGGGGCGGGGGGGGCAAGCTGGGCTTGTGGAAGTCTGAAACCCTCAATGGCCCTTTGCTGTGACACCTGTGGGGTGCTGGAGGTTGGCTCGAGTGTCTGTGTCCCCTGTTGGAGCAGTGGCCGCAGCCTCGCGTGCAAGTCCTCACCGTGGGACCTTCCTTCCAGAGCTCCTGCAGCTGGCGAGAGAGCGGCCACAGACGGATGCGGCTGTGGCCCGGAGGCTGGTGGCCCGCGCCCTAGGGCTCAGACACAGGAAGAAAGAGCGGCCTGCGGCCTGCCATCCAGAATCTGCTGCCACCCCGAAGATTGTGCCCCAGGACTGAGCTGGGCCCAAAGCCATGAGCCTTTTCCAGACACCAGGGCAAGCCCTGCACCATCACTGGATCCTCTGGGTACGTGGGCTTCCGTGTGGCCCAGCCCCAGCGCTTGAGCCAAAATAAACGATATTCTGCTGTGACAGCTTGCAGATGCACTGACTGGCGGTGGGATGCGAGCAGGTGCTGGCCCCGAGACGGACCTGGGGCTGCTAAAGGAGGAGGCTCCCCAGGGCACTGTGCAGTCTGCCCAGTTTGGGGCTGGTGGTACCTGCCCTGTGACACAGCGTGGCAATGCTGAGGGTCCCAAGCCTCTTGGCTGATCTCCCTGCCACCTGGTGAGGCAGAAGGCAGGGTGCCTGTTTGCAGATACAAAGGCGAGTCTGAATGTGTAGCTGGTCCGCTTCCCTTGTGAGAGCAGATATTGGGGTATCCCTGGGTGGAAGGACCTGGCACCCTTGTGCCTTTTGGCTTGGGTGGGGTGGGTGCTGAGACAGTCCTGTGTGGAGCTCTCCAGCACTCTGGATGGAGAGGAGTCCTGGTTGGGACTGTCCCGCCTGGTCCCAGCATGACTATAAATGCCAGGAGGAATTCAAGAGAGGCTGGCTCGTGTGCTGTTTGTGTCTGTGCTCTCTGACGGCTGCACGGACGAGGCCCTAGAGGCTGTGCCAGGTCATGGGGCTGGCGGAGCCCCCCGGAAGCAAGCTCCTCTGGCGGTGGGGGGCCCTGCAGTGCCTCAGCCATCATGCACACATCACCAGCGCTAAGTTTGCGGTGTGCTACCACGTGTCTGATAGGAGTCCTGGTGGCCCAGCACCCTGGCCATAGCACGACTCGGTCAGTACCTCCTGTAACTGGGGCAGCAGGTGAGTCATGGGTAGGCTGGCTCCTTTCTTGAAGGGAAGGGGTACTTTGCAAAGCCCAGTGAAGATTTATTTCATTTATCTGAAAGGCAGAGTTAGAGAAGGAATCTTCTATGTGCTGGTCTACCCTCTAAATGGCCACAGTGATTGGGGCTGGACCAGGCTGAAGCCAGGAGCTTCATCCAGGCCTCCCGTGTGGGTCCCAAGCTCTTAGGCCATGTGCTGCTGCCTTCTCAGGTTCCTAGCAGGGAGCTGGATCAGAAACAAAGCAGCCAGGATTGAATTGGTACTCAGATCGGATGGCGGCATGACAAGTAGCTATTTAATGCACTGTGCCACAATGCCAGTCCTCAGCTGATATTAAATGCTACTGAAGGGGCCCGGTGCAATAGCCTAGTGGCTGAAGTCCTTGCCTTGCATGCGCTGGGATCCCATATGTGCACTGGTTCTAATCCTGGCAGCCCCACCTCCCATCTAGCCCCCTGCTTGCGACCTGGGAAAGCAGTCGAGGACTGCTTTGGGCCCCTGCACCTATGTGGGAGACCTGGATGAAGTTCCAGGCTCCTGGCTTCGGATCAGCTAAGCTGCAGCCGTTGTGGTCACTTGCAGAGTGAAGCAACGGATGGAAGATCTTCCTCTCTGTCTCTCCTCCTGTCTGTGTATCTGACTTTGCAATTAAAAAAAAATAAATCTTAAAAAAAAAAATGCTACTAAAGGCTGTGGAAACGTAAAAGTGGAATCTTGGAAAATGAAGAGAACACGAGGCGAGAAGCCTCAGCCCCGAGCTCAGCCAATCAGAAAACACAGTGGCCTCCCCTCATCCCTGGCTTTGCTTTGCACAGTTTCCATTACTCACAACTCGGAAAGTTCCAGAAAGAAGCAATTCCCAAGTCCTGATTGGTACGCCCTCCTGAGTAGCGTGGCCGTGCTGCGGTGGTGGCGCTCTGCCCCGCCCTGCCGTCAGCCAGCCTCCTGTGCAGGGTTCCCTCTGACATCCCGGCCGCCTGCCACGAGGCACCCCGAGGCCGCTTCAGTCGCCCCTGACATGGCACTGCCAGGGCGTCACAGCGCCTGTGTCCCAAGTGACCCCGCTTTTACTTCATCGGGGCCCCAGGGGGCGAGCAGTGATGCCTCCGCAGGAGACAAGCCGTCAGCTTCATCTCTGAAGAGATGAAAGCACGCACAGTTTCGAAAGAGACCACTCTCAAATAATGTTTATTACAGTACTGCTGTTACAAGGTTCTAGCTCAAGGCTACGGGCTAAGAATCCCCTACTGCGCCTAAACAAACGCCATCCTAGGGAAGTACACACACACACACACACATATATATATACATATATCTTTATCTGTATCCGAAGACACAGATGTACTCAGGGTTCGGCATCCTTAGGAGTTTGGAATGTTTCTCTCATGGATACGGGGCGAGCCTACTTGTCCTGCGTGAATACGGAAGACAAGAGGCAGCTGGTTAAAGTGGAGGTGTAGATATTCAAGTTTGCTGGAAATGGCCCAGGAAGGACGGCATTCCGCCTGACCACTCGTGGGGTCACGTTTACCCACATGCGCACCTTGACAAGGAAATGGCCCCTCGTCTTCTGCAGGGGGCTGGGCTGCGGCAGCCCTCGGGTGGACTGTGACACGGACGGGGACCAGCCACCCCGACGGGGACCGGCCACCCCAGTCTGCACCCTGGGCAGCCGCGAGCCTCTGCGCAGTCCGTGTGGCCCTGTGGACAGGTCCTGGTCCCCAGCGGCCTCTGCAGCGGTCAGGCGGCTATCAGCACCTGGTGAGTGACAGCAGCGTCGCCTTCCTCCTGAGCCTGGGACATGCTGCAGGTGCCTGGAGGGCTGGCTATGCTGGCGGGGAGGGCGGCGGGCAAGGGTGTGCGGGAAGGTATGGCATGGCCCCGAAGACACAGGTGACCAGGGCGGCTCGTCACTGCGTGGTCAGCTGGTTATTCAAGAGTCCGCTGAAGTGTTCAAATTTCTGTTCCGTTTCGTCGCTCAGGGAACCGCCTGCAGGGAGGGGGTCGGAGCACAGGAGGAGCTCAGCCCCTGCCCCGTGACCTCCTTGGGGGTGGGGGCGAGGGCAGGAGCCGGGCACAGAGCAGCTGAGTGAATGGGTGCCCTTCCTTCACCAAAGAGGAGGCCCCTCACTGCTCTTTATGTTCCTTGCCAGGCTTTGGTTTGAACGTCAGGAGGCTCAATTCACACGGGAAGCCCCCTCCAGGGTCTCATGATGGTGGAGCCAAGAGGCGGGAGACTATTCGTTGGAGCAAGTTGGGATTGGCTCTAAGCAGAGCCCAGGCAGCACAGAGACCCACGCACACCGTACCGTGTGCTCTGTGGGCAGGAACACCTCACCGGAGGCCGGTCCTGGTCAGGGGCTGCCGTGAACCTCTCCTCTGTTACCATGACAACAAGCCGACTGATGCACTGCTGGTCCCACGGGTCTTCAGTAAGTAGCTTGCAGCCCTCGACTAGAGGGAAGCTGAGGCCCAGGGTTCTGAGGCCACCTGTGTCCTGAGTCAGCGGTGACCTCAGCTGCAGCCCTTACCCAGCCTCCGGGGTCTGGGCCTGCTGTGTTCTGCAGACAGGACCTCTCTCCCTGGTGCGGCCTGGGTTCCCTCTGGGTCTCTACACCCATGACTTTCCTTCTTGAGCCTGGGGCTGTGACACTGGCTCCCTCCCAGGCCCAGGAGTGGGGAGCTGCTCCTTGCCTGTCTCCCATAGCGGTGGGGGCAGCAAGGATAGGAGAGAACTTACCGATGTGGCAATTGTACATCCAGATGCGGTGGCCGTCGTAGCGGCACCTGCACTTCATGATGTTGTTGGAATAATCAGACTCGGACACTTCGTAGTTGGGGTTAATGACAACCTAGAGCCGGGACAGGAAATCAAGTCAGCGGATGACACCCATGCCCACGTCGGCCACCTCAGCCCAGCCCCACTTCCAGAGCCAGGGGATGGTACAGGGTGTGGCAGGCACTGGGCAGCTGAGAGAGGTGGCCTAGGTCCCTGTGTCCATCTCACTGTGACACGCATGCAGAGATGTGCACCTGTGTCTTTACTAAGGGCAGGCCTTCCAGAAGCTGCCACTGTCCCCTGGGTGCTCTCAGAAGGCCCCTGAGCCAGCTGCAGGAGGGCACAAAAGGAAAAAGTTGCCACAGTGGAGCAGGAAGGAGGGGTGGAGGCTGTGGGGTGGGACAAGGGGGCTGCCCTGGGGGGGCGGGTCTGGCCATGTCCCTTCTCCCCAGGCCATGACTCACTCTGTAGGGTGATGGGTTACATTTGCCCAGGCTGCCAGTCGATCCAGGACTTGAAACTGGCTCCAGGACCCAGGCTGGGGCCCCTTCCAACTCTTCCCTCCCCCTTCCTCTGCACTGGCACTGGCCCAGCCATAAGTAGACCATGCCCAAAGCTGTAAGGACTTCGTTCTGTGAGAGGGGACCTAGACATGGAGAGGTGGAGGAGGGAAGCAGAGAATACTAGGGGGACAGTGGGCACGCAGGATGACCCCACCTGGAGGGCCTGGCCAATTCGGGAAGGTGGGTGGGCAAAGGCACCTTGTGAAGCAGCATTTCCTAGGTTTGGGGGGTCCCAGGAAGTCCTTGATACAACCCTGGGGCTGCCCACTGAGATGCCGTGGGAACTGAGGTCTGCCCCACATTGCAGCATTGTGTCCTGGCCTGGGGGCCAGGGGCTGCAGGAGACCCTGCAGAGGCTCAGGGTCCTACCTAGGGGTGGCCTGCCTTTGCTTTCAATCTCTTTTCTACCCAATAGTTCCAGTTGTCCCCATTTTTTTTTTTTTTTGTCCCCAGGCTTGACAAAGGGGAAACAAAACACACAAAGCAAGGCCAACTGCGTCCTGGGAGAGACCATGGGAAGGGACTTTCCTGGCACTCCGTAAGCCTGGGGAAATTTGGAGGTCAAGGATGAAGCCAGAGCTCCTGGGAACCTTTGCACACACACGGATCGGATCGCTGTCTGGGATGTCACTTCCTCCTGTCCCCAGCAGCAGGCACTGGTATCTGCAACATGGGCAGGCTCTCACTCATGTGCAGTGACTTCCCAGGCATGGCGGGCCCTGCACAGGTGCGCTTGGCTAACTGGGCACGGGAGCTCAGAGGAGGGTGCTGTGAGCCCTGGCTGTGGGGCGGACAATCTCCCTCAGTGGGAAGAATAAAGGGCAGCTGGCATGCTCACCAGGGTCAGCACAAATCTGCGTGGTGACTGTATGACTGCAGTGCTTGTGGGGAACACACTCGCCCATACACCTGCCAGGTACCACTTACGTGCACGGAGCCACACATGGCCTGGTTCTAAAAATAAAGTGCACTTCCTCCACCCTCCCTAAACCCTGCCCCACCAATCTGGGGCCTTGCCTCCCAGTCTGCGGTCTGGCCTCATGGCTGCACAAGTGCTGGGCCATCCGACTGCCAGCCCCTGCCCAGCAAACAGCCGCACAGCCCGCCCTGGTCACTGCTGCGGGCGCTGGTTCTTCAGAGCACCGTGAGTAGGAAGTGCCAGGGCTGGCTCGGTGCCCCCAGCCATTGCTTCCAGGTGGAGTGACACATTTCTGGTCACTTGCCGTGCCACCCAGTGAGATGGGTGGGGCGAGGAGCAGGGAACAAAGGCTGTGTGGGCACTGTCGTCCTGAGCTGGCTCCTGCAGTGCCCAGAGCCCTGCCTGGAGCGTACAGTTGTTTGCAGGAAGGAGAAGAGGAGGGGTTCCTGGTTCTGCCTCGGGACCAGCCTGCTCTCTAGTTGGGCAGAGTACGTGCAAGTCCCCAGCAAGCAGGCAGCCAGCTGGGCCACCTGGTGGTCAACACTTCACCAGGACAGGTGTGTTTCTTTGCATGGGAAGTGTCCCCCTCCATGGCTACTTCTTGAAGCACAGATGCTTCTGAGTGAGGCAGTCACCAACACATGTGAGCGCCTCGCTCTCTAGGACACACCACACACTGTGACAGGCTGAGGGCAAAGGACAGCCCGGGAGGTTGTAAAGAGCGACTCAGAAGGAGGTCAGAGGGGTGGGATGCCCTGGATCCCACAGAAGCCATTCTGTCCCAAGGCCCTGGAGCTGGCCCGCAGCAGGTGCACTTCCAGTTGCAAGCTGCAGGCTTCACACACTGTCCCTTATGGACTTACCTGGCAGTCTATACTCCCTTGAGACACCTTGGCCTCCCTCCTTATTCTCCTCGCTAGCGAGGGCCTGGAGACCCGCCACGCCCACCTCACCTGGAACAGGTAGTCTCCGGGCGGCACGTCAGTGATGTCGACCCACTGGCAGTCGATGTCGTGGCGGTACATGTCCCAGCAGCCCATGGTGATGCCCTGCTCACCAAAGTTGGCACACTCGTAACTTTTCTGAATGTCTGCAGGCAGGGGTGGGAGAGGAGGTCCATCAGCCAGGTGCCTCACCCCTGCAGCTCCGGGCTCCCAACCTCCCCTCCCAGGCTCTCGGCACCCTGACCTCCTCCTACTCAGTTTCCTACCCACATCCTTCTCCTTCAGGCCCTTGCCTCCAGGAAGCCCTCCTTGACCATTCTGGTGCACCCTAGCCTTCCTGAGCACCTGGAAAACCCCTAGTATGCATAGTTTCACTGAGTCCGGGGGGCAGTGTGGCATTATCTTCACTGGGTTATCAGCACTTGGGGTGCGGGCTCACGTCTAACTTTTCTCATGAACCCCTGCATATAGCAGGTGCTCCAAGACTGTATGCTGTGGCTGCTGTGCCCAGAAACCAACGGAGGCAGTTGCACCAAGAGATGCCCATCAGCACAACCCTGGGGGAACCCTGTGTCCTCACAACAGGTGTCGCCCACAGCCCTCATCCTTAGCTATAGCCGGCTCAGCGATGGGGAGCGGCTACATAGAGTTGACAGTGGCCAGGGTAGCAGAGCCTAGTGTCAGGCCTGGGCTCCAGCCGAACGGTGCAGGGTAGGGTGGGGAGCTGGTACCTCCTTCACACTCGGTGTCCTCCAGGCAGAAGCTGGCCTTGTGGCCCTGGGCCACTTTGGTGCCATTGAGGTTCAGCAGGTCATAGTGGGTGAATACTTCCATGCTGTGGTAGTGCCTGAGAGAGAGAGAGAATAAGAATGAACCTTAGCCCACATCACGTGTGGGCTGTGGACACTTTTAGTGAACAAAGGACACTGAAAGAATTGGGGCACCAGGGCAGGAGGGGGCACCCCCTGGTTTGGCTGGTGTTCAGAGCACACGGGGTTAGTTAACGCTGCCCGCTGTCAGGGCTGCCGGAGGGGACGAGGACGGCGGGCAGCCACAAGATGTCCTCTTTAGCACCTGTCCCTGCTCCCGCTGGCACTGCCGCTCTGCTCCTGCCATCATACCCAGCCCTGTGGTGGCTCCCAGCTGCCCAGCTTCACCTGTTGGCCTGGGTGGGTGGGTGGGTGGGGGAGGGCAAGGAAGGACAGGAAAAGCTCTTTTTCTTCTCGCATGTTGGTGCTAAAACTGCTAAACCAGGCTCCCCTGCTTTAGCACTGCTCCTGCTGGGGAGAAGCAGCGAGGGGGACGGAGCCAGGAGCTGGCCAGTCCTTGAAGGTTTACAAGGGAGGCATTTTGTGGCCGCCGGAGTGGCTGGCCTTGGAAAGGTCTCTCTTTTGGCTTCTGGAAGGAACAGGGTGAGACATGAGGTCTGAGTCACCGTCTCAAGAATGTCTGCTGCTCAGAGGGGCTCATTCTGTTCATGTGTTTACCTGTCCCGAGGGCTGGGTTAGGTCCCCACAATGACGACGAGGGCATCCAAACGCGCCCCTCTCCCTCCCCACGGCTGCCTGCCTGTGCAGAAACCCTGGGATGGGAGGCACTGGCTGGCGGCTGCTTTGCAAAGTGCCCCTGGGCACCTGTGGGTTCCAGCATCCCAGCCCTACACACGCTACGCTAAGGAATACAGAATGGGATGAGGGCGGGCTCTAGGGCCAGTCTCTCTTTCCAGGCTTACGTTGGGGTAGCTGGGAAGAAGTCTGTTTCCTGGGGGCAAGCGGGGTGCCAGGGACAAGGTGCCACAGTCTGGCAAAGCCTTCCCCCAGGATCTGAGCATAGACCGAGTGGACTGGCCACTGGGCCATGGACGGAAGGATCCATTCAGAACCCTGGAACTCCCTGACACTTGGTGAGGAAGCATCCTCTTAGGCCACTGGCAGACACGGCAGAGCTCTGCGTCCAAGAATGTCACCATAGGTGGGACACATACCTACGGCCGACGGCTCCCTCACCAGTGTCCCCAGCATGAACAGTCCTGGCTGCCCTGGGCACCTGTCCTCATTTCAGAGGCATTGATGGGGCAAGGTGGCTGGGCATGTCCTCTAGCCCCCAAGGGTGCTGTGACAAAAACAGGGACCCCGCTGACTTTATCTTCCATGCCCGGGACCAGGCTACCCTGGCAGGGACACAGTCCTGACTGCAGGGCTGAGGGAGACAGCACCAAGTCAGTGACAGTGCCCTGGGCAGCAGCGGTGCCATCTGTGGCTTGAACAGCTGCCACTTGTACTGGAGCCCATGCCCTGCTCTTCCAGCTCCTTCCCTGGGGGCTTCCCAGACGTGGGCAGACTGCCTGCTGCCTGGCAGGAACATGGCAAGGGGGCTGTGAGACGATGAGCGGGTGCAGCAGGTACAGTCCCAGGCTCTAGAACATAAGGGACAGGAGAGGAGCCCGGGACACAAGGCTGGTACACCCGGCCTTGGGTGGTGGCAGGGAGGGAGCAAGCATTTCCCAGGCTTGCAGGGCAAGTCGCCTGAGCTGGGGGAAGGGCAGTCCTTTGGGGGGATTCCTCCTGGGTGCAGTACCAAGGGCTCTCCGTCCCTCCTCCCTGCCCCAAGTATGCACGTGTGTGTGTGTGTGTGTGTGTGTGTGTGCACATGTGCCTGATCCTTTCCCAGTGCCAGCTGAGCTCAGGTCTGTGCCCATGGTGAATGCAAGGTCAGAGAAAGAACCAGGGCCCCAGCTAGGGCTGGATGCTGAGGGATCTCAAACAACCCCCATTTTCCTTGACGGGCACACAGACTTACTGGGTGGCACCGAGAGCTATGAAAGGGGCTCATGGACTGCACAGCTGAGCTTTCCTGAAGGCAGGAGGCCAGGGCGCCAGAGCAGGACCCATGCCTGTCTGGGGTGGGGGCAGCCCTTGCTGGCCTTAAGGCACCCTGAGACTCTAAGCCCCTGCCCCCTCCACTGGGAGGCCTAGAGCCCGGGTGGACCACAGGAGCCCACCTGTGGCAGTCGTGCCAGATCCAGGCATGGCGGCCATTCTTGGGGCGGAAGTCGGACTGGCCGTTGTTGTGGATCTGGGAGGAGAAGCGCAGGAGCCGGCGGTAGCCGGTGTTGCGGTCGGTCAGGGCGGCCGACGCCGACAGACAGTTCTCCTCCATGGCGCACTGCAGCAGGATCATGGGCCGGTCCTCCAGGTAGGCGGTCTGCTGCACCATCTCGGCGTTGAGGACCAGGTCGGGGGCGGCTGGTGGGGGGCACACACAGGCTCAGCACATGCACACAGCCTCCTTCCCCAAGGGCTCCATGGCCGTTTCCTGGCCAGCGTCACTCCCGTCCTACCCAGCTCCATTCACCTTTGGGACCTCTGAGCTGTTCTTTCCTCCCGAGTTTACGTCACTCAAGGTCACGGGAGGAAATCAACCCAAGGCCTCCTGCCATCGTGTTGGCCTTTCCATACCACCCCTCGCCCGGCAGGAATTCGTTCTGCGATCTGCTTGGGTTGGGCCTGTGGCAGAGGCCCGTGAGCCCAGCAAAGGGACTGGTGGTGACTCTGGCTCCCTGGTGGAGCCTAGGGGTGGGGACGTGGGCAGGCTGGGTGACAATACCCAACCAGTCTCACTTTCTGAGCAGGCAACTCCGGCCCCGTACTGCACCCCGCCTTGGGGACAGGCCACGTCCTCGTCATGGCGGCAATGGGCCAGGGACAGCTCTGTGCCCGAACACTTCACTCCACTCATGACCACCTTATTGCTGTAGATATCTCCGTGCCAGTACCAGGTCTCCTGGATGAATCAACGAGAAAAACAGCCAGAATGTCACGTCACGTGGTCACTTCCTATCCCACTGCCTTGTCAGGGCAGGCACTGCTAATCAATCACAGAACCCTGCTCTGGGAAGATCCCATCAACCAATCAGACTTTGCAGGTGATAAGAAATCTGTTTCTTTATGCCCATAGTTAGCTGTGCCGTGAAGTCTAACTTTTGGATGAACTTTGGGGAAAAAAATGAGTAAGGAGGGTGTTCTGCTGAGATTGATTGGGCAATCTTGTATCTCAGGAACTTCCAGATACTGCTAAATTCTAAGAGGCGCAGGGCAGGGTGGTTAGGGACCAAGCAGGGGCACTCAGTACTTGTCCCAGAATCTCCACGAAGCAGTCTTCAATGAGCTCAATGCTTTAGTCAGTAGACTTTGAGCAAAGTAAATCATCCTTTATAATATGGGAGGGCCTGACTAATCCACCAAAGGCCTTCAGAGAACAAAATATTGGTGCCCCTCCCCGCAGGAAGAAGGAATTCACCTGCCAGATTCCGTCTCATATAATCTCAAGTATCAGCCCCTCCTAGGGTAGCCTGCTGGTCTACCCTGCAGCTCTCACACTGGCCAGCTCCCATTCTCTTGCCTCTTTCCACATCTTTATCACAGGGGCCGACTTGGGATGAATGTCCAGCCCAGGCCTGGGACACCCCTCCAACTGAGCCCCCAGGGTATCTTAGGCATGAGCTTCCGGGGAACTAACCCGGTCAGGTAGTGACCCCAGTGACGGGTGGAGCTGCTTTTCTGCTCTCTCCTGGGAGAAGGAGCGTCTGTCTGGTATTTTGTACACAGGGGCAGGTGGGAAGCTGAGTGCCCAGAGGCTGTGGGCAGCTGTGTCGGAGGCCCAGGTCCTTACGGATTCTGGAGGGAGGACCCGGATATGTCCCAGCGCCTCCTCTGAGAGTGACCTGGGTTCCAGTCAACTCACACCTCTTCCTGTTTAAGCCAGGGTACTGAGGACCTAAGGATTATCCAGGCCATGGCACAGGAAGGACAGTTGAGGCAGGGGCAAGAGTGCAACTGGCCGGTGGGGAGGTAGCCAGGAGCAGATCCTGAGCTTGCAATCCTTGGGTCATTCTCTTTTTCTGGTGGAGGGACAAGGCCATGGTCAAAGTGAAAAGGGTTCTGGATGGGTATACGACCAGGTGGCTGCTGATGGAATGAGCGGAGGCATCAGGGGTCACCATGGCCCTAAAGGCCTGCACTGCCTCCCGCTGCCAAGGGTGCATGAGAGGCCTCCCAAGATGAGCGCCTGCGGGCAGGGTGCGGACATGAAGGAGACCACTCAGAGTGCATGCCAGGGGCTGCTCACCTGGAAGGCGTTGCTGGCAAAGCCCAGTCCCAGCTGCCGGCACACCACCATGGCCTCCACGATGCCCCAGTTCTCACCACACACAGTGCCCCACACGAGCGACCCATTTCTCTTCGTCAGCACCTCCACCCGGCCCTCGAAGGGGTTGCGGCCCCCGCTCAGGCGGAGCTGGGGACAAGGAAGAGGCACGGTCACTAGGTGAGACAGGCAGGGGGAACCCTCAGTGCTCAAGTTCCCCAAGTCAGATCAGACACAAGATCAGTAAACAGCCTTGCGTAGCCTCCTGTGTGGCAGTCATGCCCAGCTTGGCCTGACGGTGGGTGGCCAAGCCCAGATACCCTGGAAGTTCCAAGCTGGCGTAGCCCACAGACCCCAGGGAGCACCACTGTGAACTCTGACCCCTCAGCCTGGCTGCTCTCCAGGAGCGATCAGGGCTGTTTGTCCAAACCATCTTTGGCTCCAAGAACAGCCTCAAGGGGATTCCCCAGGACCCCTTCCTGGGTCCCCTTCTTGCCTAGCTAGCTCCCCATTCCTACCTCCTCTGCAGCCTGGACTGCCCCTTAGAGACCTGTGGAGCCAGCTGCCCAGTGGATAGCTTTGCTTGGCATCTGGGAGATCCCAAATTGGATGTCCTCTTTTCTTTCAGCTCCAAACTTGTTCTCTTGTCTCCTCCCCTCACCTCTTGTTCTTGTACTGCAGTCCATTCCAGAGAGAATGGGGTGTGAGCAGCACACTTCCCACACAAGACCAGGTCTCCTCAGGCTCTGTGGGACCCCGTTGTACCCACTCTGCTTTGCTCTGGTAGCCTGAGAGCAACCACAGACAAGCTACAGATGACTGGATGTGTGCTTCAATAAAGCTTTCTTGGCATTGCATGGCCTTGGCGAGCTGACCTTGAAACTCTTCTGTCACAGGAGCTGGAGATGGAGCAGTGAGCTCCTTTGTCCACACCCAGTGGGGCTTGTTTGCTGCCTAAGCCCTCTCATCCCTCCAGCTCCATGCCTACCTTCCCAATCCCAATCTCTCCCTGCACTTGCCCTTTTTAATTGCCTCAACTGTCTCTTCCACCCATCTCTTCTCCACTTGAAACCACAATTCTATTGGAAAGAAATGGGATCCTGCCTTCCTCCCACTCGGAGCCCATGAGCAGCCAGATTCGTATTCTCTGACTTCCTGGCTTTAGGACTTTGCTGTAGCTCTCAGGGCTGCCTGGCTTCCTTGGCAACGTCACATGGTGAGTGACATGTGTGACACTGAAGCCCGCTACCTACAGATGCCCCCTCACCTTGATGATCCCGCTTACCATCTGGAGGCTGCAATCCCATGTGACTACCCTCTGATTGGTTCAGTAACTCCCAGCACTCAAAGCGATTCCAGCCAAGCTCCTTCACAATGTTTCCCATCTGCGACCCCTGTTGGAATGTAAGCTCCTAGGGGCACGGCTTGTGTGTGTGTGTGTGTGTGTGTGTACATGTATGTGTGTTCCATACCTGTCAGCACTCTGTCAATGGCAGGTTCAAATGCACATGATTGTATTTGATGGGCTCAAAGCATGGCCAACCTACATGAGCTCAGGCAGGGAGGGCCGGCATTTGGGGGAGGCTTCTAAAAACACAACCCTTAACCCAGAGGAGACTGGAATGCCTCACAGCAGGTGGCCAGGAGGTGCCCAGTCAGAGCAGGACACAGTTGGAGAACGCCAGGACCCCACCCATGGTGCCAGCATCCTGGCAACTTCCCAGACTGCAAAGGAGGTCTGAGTTCACCAGCGGTGACAGGACTGCGAGAGGCCTCCAGGCCAGGCAGGAACATCTGGCCTGTGTCTGGTTTGCCGCACCACCCGGTCAGACACCAGAGACATTTGAGGCTTCCCAAAGTCTCCGCCCTGGTGTGTCCCTTTGGTTCCTGATGGCAGTGTCCTGGGCATTTAAACATGGGTGAAGCTAGGGCAGCTATGATTTCCTGAGCACGCTGATGCCAGCCAACGGGGCACGGCAAGACCGCACCCTGCTTTGATGCGGGTGTATCCAGCCACTTTCCCTTCTATAATGGGGTAGAAAGTTAGGAGTGTGAAAAAGGCAAGGGACATCCGGATTTGCTCCTCTCCAAGTCACACACCAAGGCCCTAATGTCAGAGGTGACTGTAGGGGTAGTGAATCAGATTGCAGGCAGGGAGGGGAGGACAGGGCCAGGTAGCCAGGTGCCTGGTAGGGTCCCTCACCTTCTTCTGGAAGCCCATGGCAGGGATGTTGCACCTCACACCTGCGTCTTCCTCGTGACTGCAGCCCTCTGACTTGGTGTTGAACTTGCAGTCGGTGATGGACTTCTCGCTCCCTGTGCACTCGATCTCGTTGAGGTGGATGGGTCCTATTCCTGGTCAAAGGAGATGCACACAGGCCATTCAAGCCTCAGGAGGAGGACAAGGCACCAGCCAGAAAATTCCAGAAAATGAAAACCTGACAGTCCCATCCTCAAACTGCTAGAGGAAGAATCTGTAGATTAAGTGACTCCCTAAATCATGGAGATGCTGAAGCTTCAAAGTCTTAAGCTAACAGGTTATGGTTGATGGATGAAACACAGAGGCTCGAGCCATTGACAGGATCTGGGAGTGAGCTGACTGATGACAGACAGAGTCTTGAGCCAATGACAGGGTGTGGAACTTCATTCAGGTCTCCCACATGGATGGCAGGCACCAATTACTTGAGCCATCACCAATGTCAGCCAGGCCCTGCGCTGGCAGGAAGCCAAAGTGAGCAGCAGGGATTCGTTATGGAGTTCAGGTACCCCAACAGCTGGATAATCACTAGCCCCAAGACCCACTCCAGATAGTGTATGATCAAGATGAACTCTGAGGCCAGCTTATTGAGCTGCTGCTTGCAATGCCACAACACCATACCGGAGTGTTGCTTCAGCTTCCAGCTGCTCCCTCCCATTACAGTATCACACGAATGCGCCTCGGCAAGCAGCAGATGGTGGCTCAAGTATTTGGGCCTCACTACACACATATGGAGTTTCTGACTTGAATCTGGCTCTGGTCCTGGGTGTTTTGGTCACTGGGGGGAATGAACCAGAGGATGAAAGATCTTTCTTTTGCACTCCCTCTGCCTTCAAATATATCGTTTAAAAAATCAACTCTGTTTTATTCTTTTAATGTGGCTATCAGAAAGTGCAAAATATACATGTGTTTTTTCACATACTTTCACTGGACAGCATGGGTTGAGAGCACTGGGACCGTCTCAGCAGTCCCCTGGCTAGTTAACTGAAATGTGTTCCTGTACTCATCCATTCCTCCATTCTCCGCAGCAGGAACTCATCCCAGGTTCTGCGTGCAGGCATGGGCTCCACATAAAGAACATGGAGATGGAAGACCTAGGCCCACCCCTCACATAGTGTACGTTCTGGGCAGGAGTGGTCGTGAGAGTGGAGGGCTTGGCCAGGGGCAGTGCCCGCCTGGGACCTACACCCATTCTGGTGAACCTAGAGTCCCCTTCCAGGAGGCCAGCCTGGTCTACAGCGCTGAGGGCCAAGGCCCAGAAGGTTATTCAAGGTCACTGAGCAAGTCGTTGGCCAAGAACGAAGATGACCTAATTCTCAACGGGCATCTTCTCACCACCCCTGGCTGTGGGTGTGGTTCCTTGATGCATCAAGCCAGAGCTCGGTCCTCTCTGTGCCTTGACATTCAAAGGGGGCACTTTCCCCACTGTCTGCTGGAGCTGGCCACACCCAGGTGGCAGGGGACCATAAATCACCCAATGGTTCCTTGTCAGGCACAGCATCACCGAGTGCCAAGTGGCTTATTTTTCCCAGAGTTCAACAGGCCCTTGGAAATCGTGGGTGCATGTGGGGGCAGGGGAACAACTGGGTCACTGAGTACAGGTCTGTGAGTGATGGAACAGCCAGGTCACTGAGCACTTGCTGGTTGCTCAGTGCTAGGGCGCCGCCCCATACAGACCCATGTGTTGGACAACTGGCGAACTATGACAACATACATAGGAATGTTTGAACAGCTCCTGGTGGCACAATGTGTAACACCAGAGTCTACCCCAAACCCTCAGACTTCAGGCTGGCATAGGTGGGACAGTGGGAGTGGAGATGTTCCAGGATATGGACAGGACGGGGCTGGGAGGGGTGAAAAGGAAGAAGTTATTTAGGAACTTTGGTCTTTTCTGTCATCCTTCAGGGCCTCACCTGCTGCACGTCAGGCCCGAGGTCCTTGCCGCAGGGCTGCCCAGGATTCCAGCAGCCTGTGCAGTCCCTGTCTCTTGCAAAGCCTCCTTCCAACCCCAGGGAATCATTCGTTCAGATGCCAGTGCTGCTGGGAGCCTGGGCTCCAGCCAGATGCGCTCCACTTCCAGAAGAATGAAAGCCCCGTGTTCTTTTGTGGTGGGGACCGACACCCCCTCCAGGCCGCCAATAGCGACCTCATGGCATTCCTGCCAGAAGAAGGGCGTCCCTAGCCAGCCACAGCAGCCCAGACTCCCTCTGCAGGAAACAATTACAACATTCCTTGCTCAAACCATAGATCAGGATGGGAGGGCTGGGTGCTTGGCTGGGCTGCAAAGTGGATCTGGGGTGAAGGCTCCCTGTTCAGAAGCCAGGGAGGGGACCTGCCTGCATGTTGTTCCCTGCCTGTGTGTCATCTTGGGGTTCTAATGCTGCTGTCAGCAGAGTATCCCACATGGAAGCCTCCTCTGCTTTTTCCCCTTGGTTCATATGAAAGACGTGTTGAGGACACTTAATAAAAGCCATGCCCGTTCTCATGAGTGTCTCCGGCGCTGGAGCAGAGGCGTCCTGCTCTCGGGAGGGAATGTTTGCGGGGCTGCAACCTGAGCAGAACGTGAGGGGTCATCTGTTTTCCTGGCTTCTGGCCTGCTTCACAGCCTGGCCTGCCACCCCTGATCCCCTGGGCCTGTGGGTAGAACCCCAGGAAGGCTCGTGTGGCTACAGGCAGCCTGCGATTAGAGGCTGGGAGATCCACACTGGACTCTTCACCGACCTCAGCTATGGGGCCTTCCCTTGCTTGTTAATTCCCTTCTCTGGGCCTCAGCTTGCAAATCCATAAAATGGGCTGTGCAGGATCCCTCTAAGCTCATCAGGGGGAGAAGTCATTCAGTTGCTGGCATTCAACAGTCATTCAGTTGCTGAAGGGAGGAGGCAAAGCAAGAGAGAAAAATCCAGAAACTCCACAGGGACCACCAGCTCGGGCTGGGCTTGATCACTCCTGACCCAAGGCCCCACCCACAGCCCCCCAATTTCTTACCTTGTCCCAGTCTGGAGCCCGTGATGGCCTCTTTGGCACTGCCGAAGCCAAGCTCTCTGCAGACCACGCTGGCTGACACCAGGTCCCATTTGTCGTCGCACACGGTCCCCCATTCTCCATTCCGGAGCACCTCCACGCGGCCCTCCCCGATCTGGGCACCTCCCCTCAGCCGCACCAGGGGCTGCTGGAGAAACAGAAGCAGACAGACGTCTGGGGGTGCTCCGCAGGTGCTTGCTGGCCTCTCCCACCTTCTCTGCCATATTACTAGGTCCCACCCCACATCCCCCAGCCCACCTGGGGTAGTGAACGGCAAGGGGGTTGGGCAGAGGTGGCTTTGGAGCAAGCTCCCTTTGCAGCACCCACATGGGGGCCTTTCATCATGGATCCCCAGTGGGGGGAACATCAGAGGCCAGAATCACCCCCCAAGTATCCAGCGCCTCCAGCCTTGCGACAGAAAGCAGCCTCCATGCTCACGCCTACACCTGGCAACGGTGTTCAATGACGGCCTGAGGCCCTCCCCTCCTGAGTGGTTCTGCTCCTGACTCCACAGGCTCGTGTTTCATTTGCAGGTAGTGCATGTATGATGTGCGCATGTCCGTATGTGTGCACATGTGTGTCCACGTGTTTGAGTGCGTGCATGAGTGCTTGCATGTGTGAGTGTGCGTGTGTACGCATGTGTGTGCAGTCTGACGTATCGCTGATGCTCACAGGACTCAGCACAAAGGCAGGGTCAGACCACAGCATTGTCCTCCCGTGCCCTTCTCAGTCCCCGCAGCCTCTGGCACTGGACAGAGCTGACCTAGCCGTAGGTGGCAATTCAAGCATTCACGTTCATGGCCACCTTCAGGCTCGAGCCACTGGAGGCTACATCTCTCTGTCTCACCGGCCAGGGCTGCCCATGGCAGGATGGGATGTGTGACAGCTCCCACACTTGTAGACCTCCCCCCACCCCAGGTCTGCTCTCTCTAGCTCTAAAGAGGCACAGGAAAGGGAGTGGGGGGGGGGTTGCTGTGTAGCTGGGCAACTGGTACCCTGTGCTTCAGCAACTTCCACTCGTTTCACAAAAAGGACAGACAGACAGTAATAAAAACTGCTTGCTCTAGTGCCGTTTTCTGGAAAACTTTGCCTTTCACACTCCCTCCTCCCCTTCCGAACTGTCGAGTTGTGCGCTGCTGGGGAGGTGTGGGGTGCTCCTTCCTACCAGGTGGACCGTCTGTGACCCCCGCTTCCTTCCAGCAGGGGCCAGCCAGAGGGTCAGCTGGCTCTGGTGGGAAAATGGAAACCCAAGGAAACGGTGATGTCAGCCTCGCTTGCTCTTCCCTCATCGATTTGGAATGAACTTGATTCCTCCGCTTCAGACCACACAGCAGCGGAATTCCAAAACAGTAGGATTGGGAATTCCCACATGATTCAGAAGGAGAGCTCAGGCGTTACAGTCAGGGCTGGAGGCAGGATGTGGTGATTAGAGCAAGGGATGGAGGCAAGTGAGGCTGGCTGGGGGATGGGAAGGAGCAGGGCCAAACAAGACCCCCGCCCCCCGGCTGCACACCCACACATGTCTGCCCCAAGGAGACTGGGATGATCCAGGGCCAGAAGTCAATGGAAATGGTTTCCCTACCCTCTGATGGGGGCTGGGTTCTCGGCACGCATGGGAGGAGACCCCAACACGGATGTGGCTTTTCCACTGGACAGGGGTTACCACGCTTTTCCCAAGAGCAGGTCTACAGGGGCTGACAGGGAGGAGAGACAGGGAGAGTGGAGAGAGGAAGTCTGCTTAGCCCCCCAAGGCTCCTGCCTTCACCTTGCAGCCTGGGCCAGCCGGTGGAAGCCCCATGGCCCTCAGCCCCCCTCTTCTGCTCTCTGTTACCCCTGGAAACCTCCATGGAATCCCCACAGGGGATGATTCTCAAGTACCATGGCACCTGAAGCCAGCCCTGAACAAGGATCACCTCTCCTTCCCAACCCTCCACCCATGTGCCGGTCCCAGCCACCTGCCCCGAATGAGAAGATTCCACAGTGTATACAAGACAGAGACCCTTTGGGGCTGTAAAGATAAGGAAGAACAGAAGAGCTAAAAACTGTCCCCCTGACAATGACAGGGCCTAGTACATTCTCTGTATCTTCTCTATCACACAGGGATAACACACTTACCCCAGGGAATGCACTGAATTAGGGGTGCTGACACACACACTCTCCTGCATACTTGCACACACACACACACACACACACACACACACACACACACACACACACACACATCCTTGCCAGATTTCAGGTGGCTGCCCCCCCTGACCCACTGCTCCTCACCTCCGGTTTGTAGGCCTTCCGGAATCTTGAGGGTCCATCGGGGCTGAAGACCTGGCTGGGCACGCAACTGACCACAGCTGGCTGCCCGTTCTCACAAGTGATGTTTTTTGTGGAATCCAGTGACACTCGTGGGCCCAGCTTGCAGCTAGAGATGTGTGCCTCTGTGCCCAGGCAGTCCATAGAGAACGGCCAGAAGCGCAGCTTCCTCCGGGATGCGACCATTCTGTAGGGGAGCAGAAGTGGAGCTTGGTCATCAGGGTTTCTTTCCCCAGAGACAGACAGGGTCCCTGCGCCCATGGGTCAATCCTGTTTCTCAGACAGGGTCAGTGCATAACGCCCACCCCGCCCAGTGTTGGACTCGGAGAACCTGAGACAGGGCCTAGTTCCTCAACGAGCTAGTTGAGAGCCGCGTGTCTGCTCAGCAGAGCCCCCTTTTTATACTCACTGGGGCTTCGTCTCTTCAGCTTTTTTTGTGTCTCCCCCTAACAGGTTAATGAGGAGGGCTAAACATTCTTTTGTTTTTCACCCCTTACCAGCTAGTCCTAGTTCACAAACAAGTCCTGATATTGCCTCTGATGTTTCACACGGTTTACATAAGGGTGAAGCATCATGTCAGACATTTTACATTTTCAGGGGATGGCCATACACAAAGATATTTTTCAAGTACATGTTTTGTCACAATCTCCTTGGTTGGAGTCATGAGAAGGACTCAGGTCTTGAATGACAGTGGGTGGGACGTACAGAAAAAGGCAAGGCGGAGGATGCCCCTGTCTTCTGCTGTCTGGAGCCTGCGTGTTGGTCCCTGCGTGGCAGGCCAGACCAGACAGCCTCACTCCCACTGTCCAGTGTGGGTGGGGGACCTCAGGACAAGGTGAGTTCCAGAGGGACTGAGAAGTGGGTACTGTCTTTGTTGGTGTGGCTGCCCTGAGACACCCTGTAGACTCTGTCCCCTCTTCTCTGTCCAAATGGGACACCGAGGCCCCCTAGTGCGCTTGTGGGTGCCATGACAATGCATTTTGGAAATGAAGATAGTCTAGTTAAGTCCTGTGGCTGCTCCTCCCTCTCCACTTCCTGCAAGCCAATCCTCACCCCAGACAATGGAAACTGTAGTTTACCTCTGCCCCTGCATTAGGGTCAGGCTGAAGAACACATTAGCTATGGGGGCAGACCAGGCCAGGCAGGGTTACAACACCTGTTGGCCTCATGTGAGCTGGATTAGGGAAATGCCACCCTGGGTTGACTGTTCCTACTGGTGCATGCATAAGTCAAAGTGGGTGTGGGTTGGTTGGGATTTGCCGCGGCATCAGCTGGCAGATGCTGGCACAGGGGACAAATTCTGTCAAGGTAAACTGTAGAACCACCTAGAGTGCAAGATCCAGGAATGGGAGTGGCTCCAGTACAATGAGCATCTCCCTCTTGGGCTGCCGCTCCAACTAGAGAGCATGAAAACCAGGACTGGGCCAGGCATGTTTAGTCAAAGAGTGGCACTCGCCAGCAGGTGTGTGGACTGGATAGTGGGGTTGAGTGGGTTGAACTAGGCTTCAATGCTCATTGACATGTACAAGAGCTGAATGGGATGTGGGACAGACTGAACTAGTCTGCGGTACATGCTGGCAAGCATGGGAACAGGGCAGAGGGCGGGCCTGGTGGGGGTTATTGCATGTTGTTCCGACTAGGCAGCCACTCCCCCTGGCGTACACGAAGGCCAAGTGCGAGGTGGGCAGGATCAGGCTGGGTTGCAAGACCCATTGGTTTGTATAGAAGATAAGGCTGGAGGCAGAGCTGACCCAGCAATTGCAACCACCAGCATTTGCATAAGCTGACTGGGGTGATGGACTGTCAGACTTTATCTGCATGAAAGTTGATCAGACCATACCAGCAACCAAGGGAACCTTGGTTCACAAAATGCCTATGATTTCCAACTATCTGTGGCGGCCAGTGATTGTCCCCTGCCCAGGAACACGCACTCTAGGGGGCTCTTCTTCAAGATCCAGACACCCCAGACCAGCTCCTGTCTTCCCTGGGCAGCTGGCTTTTTCTCCAATGATGTCAGCTGTCGGGAATGCACTGCCCACCAGTGACCCCTGCTCCCCACCCGGAGTGAGTCATTCCTGATGGACCTTGAGAGGCCTGGTTGGGGGAGGGTTGAACCTGGGATGACTGAAATTCTAATGGGAAAGCTGGCGGGGGTGGGGGCAAGCAGCAATTACAGATTGATGCAGATAAAAGTAGAAAGTTCGCCTAGCTCTCCTCCCTGAGGAAGTTGAGCTAAAATTTGTGGGATCCTGACAGCTGCTAAGCAGTCCTGCTGCAATCAGACACTCTTTTAAGAGCAACCCCACCAGTTCCTGCTTTCTCTGACTTGGGGTGGTGATACGCAGATATGTGTGTCCGAGGGGGCCCCCGGAAGGAGTCAGCTCAGAGCTGGCTGTCCAGTCCAGTTCCCTAAACTGCCTGACAAGTCCACGCCTCCCCCAACACACAACCCAGATGCAAGGTCCCTTCAGGGGAGGCTGGGGGCAACAGCAACAGAACAGGGTACTTCCAAAAAGCTCATGGGGGAAATAGCAGAGTGCAAAAGAAATCTGACATCTTTGTACAGGGTATTCAAGGCATATGCATTTTAGCACCTCCTGCTTTGTTGTTCTAATTGAGTCCATCCACAAGGCTACCATTCAGCTGCATTTAGAGTGATCCCAGTGCCCCTTAAAGGAATCTTCACACCCATTAGGGGTCATTTCCTACCTCTACCCCCTTGACCCCACTGCCCCCAATCTGAGTACGGGGTCTGTGGGCTTGTCTGTTACAGACATTTGGCATGGCTTGCTCTCACTGCAGAAGGTGGCTGAGCTGCATTCCTTCCCAAGCCTAAAGGGGCACTGCACACTGCTGTGTGTGTGTGTCTGAAGGGTTAATCCACTGCTGGGCACTAGGGTAGTGTCCACATCCTCTCTGCCATGCTACCCTCATCCCCCTCATCACAGCCGTCATGTCTAATCTACCACACGTACATTCACGCAAGCTCCTGGGTGCGGCTAGACACGAATGTTCTCAGTGCCTATGACTCAGCAGTAATGCACATTTTCTTTCCAGGAGATTTTTGAAAATCCTTTACAATGAATGAATGAATGGGCTGCAAAGATTCTTTGTACCACATAGATTCATCTTTAAAACATTATCTGGGGCCCGGCACGGTGGCGCAAGTGGTTAAGGTCCTCACCTTGCATGCCAGGGATCCCATATGGGCGCCGGTTCTAATCCCGGCAGCCCCACTTCCCTTCCAGCTCCCTGCCTGTGGCCTGGGAAAGCAGTGGAGGACGGCCCAAAGCTTTGGGACCCTGCACCCGCGTGGGAGACCCGGAAGAGGCTCCTGGCTTCGGATCGGCATAGCATCGGCCATTGCGCTCACTTGGGGAGTGAATCATCGGACGGAAGATCTTCCTCTCTGTCTCTCCTCTCTGTATATCCGCCTTTCCAATAAAAATTTAAAAAAATAATAATAATAAAATAAATCTTAAAAAAAAATTATCTGCTTATTTATTTCCATTTTGTTTTCAAGGCAAGGAGAGGGACAAGGGGAGGGAGGGAAGAAGAGAAAGAGTTTTTCCATCCGTTGGCTTACTCTCCAAAAACCAGCCAACCGGCAGGGCTAGGCAGGCAAGGACTGAGGGCCTGTGCTTCTCATGATTCAGGTTTTTTGTTCCCCTGACCTAAACTTATCTGCTATCACAGATCGAGGAAGAATTCAGTAGGTTTCCTATCTATGTCATTTCTTCTTAGTTAAAAAAAAAATTCGTTTTGAAAGGCAGGATTACAGAAAGAGAGACAGGGAGATCTTCCATCCATTGGTTTACTCTCCTTAGCCCTTGCCACAACAGCCAGGGCTAAGCTGGACTGAAGCCAGGAGCCTGGTCCCCCATGTGGGTGCAGGGGCCCAAGGCCTGGGATCTTCTCCTGCTGCTTTCCCAAGGGCATTAGCAGGGAGTTTTGGAAGTGGAGCAGCTGGGACTTAAGCTGGTGCCTGTACAGGATGCCAGCCCTGCAGGTGGCAGCCTTGCCTACTATGCCCCAGCATCCATTCTTGATGAGCCAGGCGGGGCAGGTATCTAAGGATCCCCACTCCCACCCCACAGGTGGCTGTCCCCTTACTTGTAGGCTTTCGTATTGTAGGATCTCTCCGCAGGAAAGCCAAACATGCCACACACGACATGGGAGTTCTTGGCTGTCCAGTGCTTGTCACAGATTTGCTTCCAAGTCTTGCCCTCCTTCACTTCCACGAAGCCCTCTGTCACAGGGTGCCGATGCTGGAATGCCGAGAGGACGGGCCGGATCCGGATGTCTTCCACCTGGATATTCAGGTTCTGGAGAAGAATGAGGCATGGGAAGGCAGGAGGGTTAAGGTCCTGGTGAGGCTGCAGAGCAGCACCAAGCAAGTCTTCCCTGGGTGACAAAAGCCAGCCGCCCTGCCTTTTTAAGCCCTGCCGAGCATGCAGATGCTTCCAGTGAGCCTGCGACCCTAGCCACAGGATCAAGTCCCACACCTGGGAGGTGGTGTGCCTGCAGGGACCTGAGGGGGTGCAGGAGTGACTTGGTGTAGTCAGAGGACACCAGGGGGAAACCAGGGGGGCTCTCCCCCCATCTTCATGATGAACCCAGAGAGCTGAGGACAGCAGCCCCCTCCTGCATAGGGTTCAAGATTCAATAGCAAAAAGAGTGTCCTGTGAAGTTTTTCTTTTCTTTTTTTTAAACATTTATTTATTATTTTTTTATTTAAAAGGTAGATGCATAGAGAGGAGAGAAAGAGAAAGATCTTCCACCTGCTGATTCACTCTCCAAATGGCCACAACAGCTGCAGCTGAGCCAATCTGAAGCCAGGAGCCAAGAGCCTCCTCCTGGTCTCCAACGCAGGTGCAGGGGTCCATGGCTTTGGGCTGTTCTCGTATGACAATTTCCTGATTTTTGCTTATAGCTCAAAAGCATGTTGTGTGCATGCCTGAAACCCTGTTTGTGGGTAGCCTTCTCCATGCATCTCTCCGTAAGACTGGAACTTGATGGGGCTGGTGCCATGGCGTACTGAACTAATCCTCTGAGATGCTGACATCCCATATGGCTGCCAGTCTGAGTCCTGGCTGCTTCATTTCCCATCCAACATCCTTCTTATGGCCTGGGAGGGTAGTGAAGGATGGCCCAAGTCCCTGGGCACCTGCACCCATGTGGGAGACCTGCAAGAAACTCCTGGCTCCCAGCTTTGGGCCAGCTCAGCTCTGGTCATTGCAGCCATTTGGAGAATGAATGAGTGGAAGGAAAATGTCTCTCTCCCTGTAACTATGTTTAAAAACAAATCTTGAAAAAAAAAAATCCCCTGTAGTTTCATCTACCCAGAAGCTGGTAGTGCCATCTTGCACAATACCATATCCCCCAGAGGTGGACAATCCTCCCTTCGAACAGCCCAGAGAAGTTACAGCACTTGGAGGGACAGGAGCCAGAGGCTCCCAGTATTGAACACATGTGGTTGGGAACAGGGTTGATGGAAAGTACTCGTTGGCAGGATGCTTCATGGAGGAACTAGAGGAAGGCTGCAGGGGAGGCAAGACTGCGGGCACAACAAAGTCTCTCCCCATCCCCTCCTGACTCCGAGTTGCAACACTCCTACCCTTGGCTTACAGCTACGTGTGTCTGAGTCCCCAGTATCCGGCAGAGGGAGGGGCGCCTTGGATGAGCTAAGCTGGATGACAGCAATGGCAGATTCCCCAGAGTCACACTGACATTTTTAACACATTCACAGGGCATAGCACACCAGCCCCTCAGACCAGGGAAGCTTCTCCTGAATCCGTCAAGTGTAGCACCTTCTCTTTCTGCCCCTGCCCTTGCCCTGGCTGAGCCACCCCCAACTCCTGTCCTTCTCTGAGTCCCCTGCCTCCAGCCACCAGATGGCTCCCTCTAAATCACAACCCCGAGGCTTGGGGTCATGATGTAGTAAGTCAAGATTCTGCCTGTGGCACAGTTTCAGTCCTGGCTGCTCCACTTCTGATCCAGCTCCTTGCTAATGGCTTGGAAAAGCCATAGAAGATGGCCCAAGTCTTTGGGCCCATGAACCCACAAAGGAGACCCCAAAGAAGCTCCAGTCTCCCAGCTTCGAACTAGTCCAGCTGATGCAACCATTTGGGGAATGAAGCAACATATGGAAGATTTCTCTTTTTCTCCCTATAAATCTGTCTTTCAAGTAAAAATAAAATATATCTTTAAAAAAAATCACACTTATAGTCCTCATCTTGGCTCTTGCCTGGCTGACTCCTGAATTCGTGAGACCTGTGGCCCTTCACCACTGCCACCCTCCACCATCACCCCAAACAACCCCAGGTCCACAGGGATCCTCAGATGTGATGGATTGCAACACCCAGTAGTATAGCAGCAGCAGAGAGGACTCAACAGGTGCTCCAAGTGTTGGAGCTGGCACCAAGTGCCTGGTGTACCACCTCTCCCTCTGTCTTTGGCAGCACAAGATCATCTGTCCCAGACAACAGTATCAGTGGACCTCAGTTCCTCCCCATGGCCCACCTGAGACAAATTCTGAGCCAGGCTAAGGAGGGAGGGAGGGAGAGGTAGGGCGGAAAGGCAGGAACCCAAGTGACCAAGGAAGGCCCTAGGCCTGTCCGGCCAGCATGCAAATGAACCACAGGGTTGAACAGAACTATTATTTGGTTGCCCAAGGATTCGTGTCTCCTCACCACTGGCTTCAGGGTCTTGAGCCAGGCCATGCCTCACAAGCTCTGAGAGGTGGTGGAAAGGATGTGGCCTGTAGTGAGGGCATCTGGCCCTGGGCGCCTTCCACGCAGAACCCAGGGAAAGCTGCCAGGGGCAGGATGACAGCCTCCAGCCTGGAGTCTGGCTCTTCAACAGCCTTCATTCAGGGCTCAGGATCCATGCCACCAAGACACGTGGACAGGGACAAGCCCAGAGTCCGTGCCCCCCCCCCCCGCCTCTCTCCAACCCTGCCTCTGCCCACCTCGGGACCAGGGCTGGAATTCCAGTGAGATGCGTCACTCTCAGAAGCCCAGAAGGAAAGTTACCATTGCAGCGTCAGCCCTGTGGCCTCATGGGGCCCGCAGGCTGGGCTGACCTGATCCCAACCACAGATCCGTCCCCTGCTGTGGGCAGGCAGCACACAGGCAGGCAGGCAGGCTCGCTAGTGGGGAGACGTGGCCCTCGGCCTCTGACTAAGGACAGGAAGGGGCGGAAGGCCTGATGTCAAGAATTTAGCCGACCCTGCTGGCAAAAGGATCCCAGCCCACTCATGCTTTGACAATGTGTGACCTCCACAGGAACAGGGCTTGCGGGGAGGGGGTGAGCATGTAGTATTTAGAAGGCCTGCTTTGTCTCTATTGCTCTTTCAAATAAAGTGCAAATAAATCAATGAAAATTGAAAAATAGCTATGACTTGTGGGGAGAGTCAGTGGGGTACCTGCAGGGTGAGGCCAGTGAGACCTGGAGAAGAGACAGGATTCGAACCAGATCTTCCACCAACACACTGCGCATGTGTGGGTAAAGCCCTGTGTGTATAAGGTGGCATGCCATGCATGAACGCAGGTCTCTGTGCATACAGGCATGGTGGTGCGTGCAGGTCTGTGTATGTGTGTGTGTGTGCATGTGAGCGTGTTTGTGTCTTGTAATACAAGCACAAACGCAGGCCTGCGTGTGTGTGTGCTCTGTGTGTCTGTGTGTCTAGGGTGATATGTGCTTGTGTGTGCACCTTCTTTAGGTGTTACAAGGTGGTGGTACACCCAGGTCTCTGTACACATGTACATCTTACTTGCACTGTGTGCCTCATGACACATGCATGCAGGAGTGAGCGTGTGTGTGTCTGCGTGTGCACACACAGTACGTGCACCTCTCTGTATGCGCACAGATGGCGGTCTTATAGCAGTACATGTGTCCTTCCTGGGGGTCTCTGAGTGGGCAGTGTGTGTCATTCTGTGTGTGACTGAGCAAAAGGTGTGGGGTATTTGCTCCCCACCCCTACCCCCCAAACCCAGGGAAGTGGTCATGACAGACTTTGTCATCCTTCTTTACAAATAAAACAGCTGATTCCTCTCTCTAGCCTTCCCATTCTGTAAGATATGGGTCTGTCTCATCCATCCGTCCATCCATCCTTCATTCACCAAATGCAGCCTGCGCATCTCGTCCTTGACCAATGATCTTTGTGCTGAGAACCCCACAGTCCATTCCTCACTCGACCTGAGAACGACTGGTGACGTTCTGCCACTTACCCAACCTCACACAGCCCAGTGCAAAGGGGATTTCGAATGGAAAGCACAGTCTGACTGCCGGCCAGTGCTCCAGCCGAGGCTGCAGGCAGCACCCAGCCTCACCCCCATGTCCCGCACACACAGCCTGTCATACAGGGTGACCTACTTGGGGCTCAGACTTCTAGGCAGCCTGGTCACACCCTTCGTTCAGGACCCTGCCCCAGCAGCCATGAGTCAGACTGGATTGAGTACGTGAGGGGCCAGCTGGGCTCCAGCGGTTCTTGGACACAGGCCAGCTGGGGAAGTGGCTGGGAAAGCCTGGGTGTCGCATGGCCCGCATGCACAGCTAACGAGCTCTGCTGGGGCCCCATGAGTCGGAAAACGCATGCGTGCAAGCACAGCCTCCTCCTTACCTCACTGTTGTGGAATTCCTTCTATAACCACAAGCGCAAGGAGTCACTTGACTTATTTACTTATTTATTTTTTTATCCCCAGGAGTTCAGCCCCAAAAGGAAAGATTTGGGAACAGGAAAATATACACACTTAAAAAAAAAAAAAACAAATGAGTTCCTAAAATTACTGGTTTCAAATTAAGCTGAGGAGCCCAGGAGCTGGGGAAACACACTTGAAATTTTAAGCTGCAATCTGAAGGTTGTGCTTCCTGCCAGGCCTCCAAGAGGGACCTGAAAGAATTCCTCCCCGATCTGTCCTCTTCAGGACTCAGCGCGTGTACCCGAAGGCTCTAATGTGCTCATGCCCCACTTCCAGAAGGGAAATCAAGGCACAGCCAGGCCAGGTGGCTTGCTGGAGAAGAAGGCCAGGGAGGGAGCGCCAGAGCTTATGCCCGAGTGACATTTAACATTTGCAGCGGAGGGTCAGTGGCTTGCCAATTCCAGAATGTGACAATCTGGGGCTAATGCCAGAGAGGAAAAAAAAAAAAATCACCCATTTTGAAAGTCTGGCTGCGGATTGCATCAGGGTGAGAGGCAAGGCCAGGCCAGAGAGCCAGCAGGCCAAGATGAATCTACTAGGTCTCCAAACTGCTCAGCTTGAGGCAAATGGGCTTTGGGGAAGGTTTGTGTGCAAGGCTCCTCCCACCCACGTATCTTTCTCCC